CTGTTGGTAATTTACTTATTTCGTTTTGAGTAATTTCTGGCTCCAATTCAATCAGCAATCGACACGTAAGAGAATTAAGAAATATTGACTCAAAACTGACAACTAAAGAGACAGCTTTATTTATTTGTCAAATTACATAGACACCAACGCCAACCCAGCACAATATTTTTTCTACTCGTAATAAATTCCTTGAAATAACAATTTCCGAATATTTTTTAAAACGTTACTCGCTATGGAAAAAATATTGTTAATATTTAAACTTAAGCAGTGTCATTTAACATCTTCTCACTTAACATCAAAGTTACCCCAGTTTACAGTATTAATGTTGTACAAATTTATCAAAAACACAATTTTTTTTAATCCCACCCAGTCTTTCCTTCTCTACCCGTCCATACAATGGAATCCGGGCGCAATATGGCAGTCGCGTACCCCGTTTCCATGACAACCCTAACTGTGTTCCCTTCCTTTCACCCCTGGACCACCCTTACCCTAGATTTACCACCCCTCGAGAGGGCTGATGCGATGCACCAGCACTCGATTCTACGTGGCGTTAGGCCGAAGCGGGGGTGAAATGGGGGTTACAATGGAATTGGAGGTTATAAATCAAAAGAGGGGGAATGAAAAACGATTTATTGGGGAAGGTGGATGTAATTAAAGCAGACTGTGATGTAATTTGGAGAATTTTTTTAGAATTGTAGTCGTTTATTGTGAAGGACTGAAATAAATTTTTGGATGTTATGGAGGATTAGTGCTTTATGTTGTTAATACAAGGGTTGTCTTATATTTTGCCTATGTAGGTAGAAAAAAAAACAGTAGATAATTTTTAAAGACTATTGTTTTTCGAAGTATTCTCCACAAAGAGAAATGCATTTTTGCATTCATTGAAACCAATTCTGAAAGCAATGATTCCACTCGGTTTTTAGTACCTACAAAATTGCGTTTTGAAGGCGCTTACTGCATCTTCTGGTAACTGGAACCAGAGCTACAACAAGTCAGTTTTAAAAAGTCTTATGTCGTAAGTCATAAAGAGTCCATAAAATCAATAAAATGAAAAATATACGAAATAATATACAGGTACTGATTTCTTTCGAAAATCGACAACTATGAAACTATGAATCCTTCCTGGACACAAACGGTACATTGTGAAACAGGGAATTGTAGAGAGAGAAAAGCCCTATAATATAGGATACAACATTTTAATGAACAGTGCTTTCCATAAAATCAATAAAATGAAAAATATACGAAATAATGTACATGTACTGATTTCTTTCGAAAATCGACAACTATGGGACTATGAACCCAAACCAAACGGTACATTGTGAAACAGGAAATTGTATAGTGAAACAAGCTCTATACCATAGGATACAACATTTTAATGAACAGTGCTTTCCATAAAATCAGTAAAATGAAATATATACGAAATAATATACATGTACTGATTTCTTTCAAAAATCGACAACTATGAAACTATGAACCCTTCCTGGACACAAACGGTATATTGTGAAACAGGAAATTATAGAGAGAAACATGCTCTATACTATAGGATACAACATTTTAATGAACAGTGCTGTCCATAAAATCAATAAAATGAAAAATATACGAAATAATATACATGTACTGATTTCTTTCGAAAATCGACAACTATGAAATTATGAACCCTTCCTGGGGCGCTATTCTGTACAATCATCGGTATCGTTAAGTTACCGACAGCTATCGGTACGTGCGGCCAATGAGCGTCGTGTTGATTGTTGTTGTCATAGTTACCGATCGGCCCTTTGACAGATATCGCAAATTTGTACCGACAACTCTCGGTATCTCTACCGTGAGGTTAACAAGGGCACGGTAGAGATACCGATTTTCGTCGGTACAAATTTGCGATTGACCGATCGGTAACTATGATAACTAACAATTAACACATTTTTCTATATACAAATACGTACCGAGAGCTGTCGTAACTTACCGATACCGACGATTGTACAGAATAGCGCCTCTGGACACAAACGGTACATTGTGAGACAGGAAATTGTATAGAGAAAAAAGCCGTATAGCATAGGATACAACATTTTAATGAACAGTGCTTTCCATAAAATCAATAAAATGAAAAATATTACGAAATAATATACATGTACTGATTTCTTTCGAAACTCGACAACTATGAACCCTTCCTGGACACAAACGGTACATTGTGAAACAGGAAACTGTAGAGAGAAAAAAGCCTTATAATGTAGGATGCAACATTTTAATGAACAGTGCTTTCCATAAAATCAACAAAATGAAAAATATACGAAATAATATACATGTACTGATTTCTTTCGAAAATCGACAACTATGAAACTATGATCCTACAGGATACAACATTTTAGTCAACAGTGCTTTCCATAAAATCAATAAAATTCTACTAAGTTACTACTACGCTAAAAATGTAACTTAACTTTTACTTTAAGGCTTTTATAAAAAGACTTAAATATTTTTAATGACTTAAGTCTTGTAAGATAAGACAAATATTTTTAATTGACTTTTTCTAAAATGACTTAAATCTTTTTATATTTCAGAATAAATTATTACATATTATAATAGTACATTTAGCATGCACAGACCTTTAAAAGACTATTTACGTTGCACCACCCGGTATAATTAAACACACATTTTTAATATCAGAAAAAATAAACAGGCATCTCGATAAAAAGTTATTTCGATTATTTTCGAAAGTTAAAAAAGAGAAAACCAAACGTGATATGCTGACTCACATTTTTTAAGTCCTTACATTTAAAATATATATCTTCTTCTCACCCTTTTATTTTTCTTGTATTGAACTGGAACACCTCCAAAAACCTAATACCATGGAACAAACTTTCTTTTTTTTATTGCATCCCTTTAAAGAGTTATAAGGGACCATAAAACCCTTCTATTCAAGATAGGTAAAAAGAGGAAAAGGGCGATATTAAAAAACAGTCGTCGAAACTTTCACCTAAGAAGAAAAAAAGGGTTTTCGGGTTGGTGAAAGTTGGGCATAGTAAAAAAGGGTTTCTATTATGAAGGGTAGTGACGGATTGGTATTAGAGCGGTAAAAAAATCATTATCCTGTATTTAAGGACAAAAAATCATCGAAGTCTATGAAATTTCAGTCTTTATTTGGTTCAATCATCAACAACTTTTACTTGTCTTATCTTTCACACAAAGCTACTTTTACAGCCAATTATATCTAGAAAATTTAGTAGATATACTTTAAAAATGGGCGTCAAGTAATATTACTGACTGTATTGTTCATAATTCAACGGTGCTGAAGAAGAAGACTAAAGAAAAAAGTTATTGGTACACCCTTTATTATCTGAGAGATATCAAAAAGCATGGGCGCCGGACAGGGGGGGCAAGAGGGAGCATTTGCCCCCCCCCTGGATCACTGAAACAATAAAAATAAAATCTTCTTGCATCCATCTGTAAAAAAAATAATCATTATTATGAAATTGTTAGGTGTCACCTGTAAAATAATAAAAAATGTGGTAATTATTGGGAAAACTGGAAATCGTCCGATTTTCACCAAAATTGGTATACATACTATTTTGAGGTCGTAGATTACGAATCTATTTTTTTCTTGGCGGTCTCTTACCGTTTTTCAGAAAAACGGAAAATTATTTCAACATTGAATTTTTCTTAATTTCGGCCCTATAAAGTAATAATTTCACTATATTTTCATTATATTATAGTTTATCTAAAAGCCACACTTGATTGGGGATAGAAAAGTGTCCAACATTTTACTGAAAAACACTTTTCTTAACAAAATAGCAAAGAAAATTGAGACCAGATGGAAGTTTGACATTTGATATATCCTTCTTTCTCTCTCCTATGTAATAAGAGAGACAAATATATTCTAGACCTAATCTAGAAATTTTAAAATTTACAACGTTGCCATATCTTCTATTTTTTCGGGTGATTAGGGATTTTAAATAAATTACCTATTATGAGATCGACAATAATTAAATATACACCCATATCCACAAAATTACGCGGAAGAGTTTTGATTGCATTGGTTTTAACTTCTTTGCGGAGGGGGTTTATCTTTTTTTAGTTAATCTAATAATATAACAACAAAAGATTAACACCCCCTGCATGGAAGTTGTAACCAATGCAATCAAAACTCTTTCGTACATAGTCAGATCTCGTTGGTAAAATAGCAGTTGAGCAGAATGAGCGAAAAAAAACACGCTAAATTTAGGTTTAGCATTGGCAACGTTGCTTTAAATGCCAGAAACACATAAACTTACTTCGGGTTTCTCTTATTACCGATTCTGAACCGTCCTAGAACTGTGATGCGTATGCGCAGAAGGAAATATGAAGACATTATTTCATTTGCGCATGCGCTGCAGAGTTCTTGGACGGTTCAGAATCGGTAATAACAAGAACCCGAACAAAGCTATAATCTAACATTTTCAGATTGTTTACAAATTTATTTTAGCAAATTTTCCTCTATTATGCCTACAATTGGTTAAAAAAGTAACAGAAAATAGCAAAAACATTATTGATTATTGAATACCTAACAAAATGTGTGCTAGAAAACCTTAAAAATATCAGAAATTAAGAAAAATTCGATATTGAAATTATTTTCCGTTTTTCTGAAAAACGGTAAGAGACTGCCAAGGAAAAAGTTCAGATTCGTAATCTACGACTTCAAAATAGGGTGTATACCAATTTTGGTGAAAATCGGACGATTTCCAGTTTTCCCAATAATTACCAAAAATGTCAATTTTTTATTCATTTTTACCTTGCTCCCCCCTAAATTTCATTCTTCCGGCGCCCATGTCAAAAAGGTATATTTTATAATTGTGTTGTCATAATCTTTTCTTTTACTGTAACAAAAAGTTCTTTTTACAACCAAACCAAACCAAACACCGGTGTGGGATACAAGTGGCTACGTATGAAAGAGCTCTTACTTCAAATTTGCTATAACAAACCCCGATTTCATAAAAGTAACTCTTCTAATTCTATATTCTTATCTCTTCCAGGTCCCAACGGCTGTCCAAGACGGCGCGGCCGACAGACCTACACCCGCTTCCAGACTCTGGAACTGGAAAAAGAGTTCCACTTCAACCACTACCTGACCCGGAGGCGGCGAATAGAGATCGCGCACGCGCTGTGCCTCACCGAGCGACAGATCAAGATCTGGTTCCAGAACCGTCGGATGAAGCTCAAAAAGGAACTGCGAGCAGTGAAAGAGATCAACGAACAGGCCAGGAGAGAGCGGGAAGAGCAGGAGAGGCACAAGCAACAGCAACAGGAGAAACAGAAACAGAACAGTCTAGGGAGCGACAGTATACACCAGCATCATCACGATCCGATGAAGATGAACCTGACGAAATCTGAGTCTTCTACGGATCTACTGAAGACCGTGACGAAGGTTCCGACATAAGTTTTTTACTTTTAGTGATGTTTTTTTTTGTTTAGTAACGCTGTTTTGGTTTTCCTGGATTAAGAACAGTTAAAACTTTATTTTTGTTGTGTTTGTTGGTGTTGTAATTGGGCGGTATATGTATTTTAAGTGTATATAAGTCGTGTTAAGTTTCTAATGTTTTTTTTTCGTTTTTTTTATTGAATTTTTTGGTTTAAATTTGAATTGGACGATTGTTAATAGGTATCTTCTTAATTTATTATGAAAATGAATCGTCAAAATCAATTTGCAATAAATATATTGTCGGTCTACAAACAAAACAACACTTTTGTTTCTAAAAATATGTAGTAGTTTTATGTCTATGGAATATTGTGATATACAGGGTGGTCCGAATTGTACTCGGAAAACTTACGGCAGCATATTCTGCAGATAAAAATAAGTAAAAAAGTTCGTATAAAGGGTATAGCCGGATTAATATAGGAAATCTACCACAATCTGGCACACAAAGCGGTCTTGTTCAGTTGTGACTCTTTGACGACTTTGTCTGGGCCTGTTCTTGAGAGTTTCTCGTTCCAAGTACCTTGCATATGTTTACGATACAACACCCTGGGTAACGCCTACTATCTCTGCTACGTCTCTCTGGGACATTCCTTGTTCAAAGTTCGGATATTATTTAAAAAAAAACGAAGTTAAAGTTCTCACTCTATAACTCCAAAACGAAACATTTTAGAACACAATTTTATATGAACTTTTTTACTTTTTTTTATTTTTATCTGTAGAATATGCTGTAGAAGGACATCATAATATCTAGAAAAAGAGTTCTGCATAGACCGGTAATTTCTATATTATCTTGTGAACGAAAATTTTAAAACGGTCCATATATTATAAATTTTCGAATGACTAAAACCGGAACCCAAAAAGAAACAAATCAAAAACTTTATCAAAAGATCTAGACATTAATTAAGAAGATTTACAGCTGTTAAATTCGTCCAATTAAATTTAAACTCCATTAAAAAATTTATTGCGCTTTTTAATTTATGTTCTCGAATCGTTCTCTCGGTTATTTGACATTTTTGTTGCGGCAAAATGAACGAAGAAATAAAAGAGCGATTTAGAATGTAAGAAGAAAGGCTCTTCTCTAATGCAACAAAAAGAAGAAGACGAAAAAATGGAAAATTTTGTGTTATAATTTGGGACTTCGCAGGAAGCAAATGCGCACGTTAAAAAAGAACGATTATATTTTTATTAATTTTTGTGTTTTCTAATGAAAAAAGCTAGGCTTTTTTATTACGTTTCACTTTCCTCTTCTGTGTTACATATAATAATTCGTTGTAAATACTTTTTGTAGTGTGTTCACGTTATTATTTTTATACTTGAAGTTAATTTTAAAAAAGTATTCTCTTTTTTTAGTTTTTAAGATTGAAGAGCTGATTTCTATGACTTTATTATATAAAAAATATAAATATATATAATATAAATCATTTATTTGAAGCTATCGGAGTCCACCAGTCTCTTTTATTACAATTATTAAAAAAATGTATTTTTAACTAAAGCTATGTTAACAGTAAAATAACAAAGTAAAACACTAATTCTCCAGAATACGCCATTGTTAAAAATTAAGTATTTTGGTGTATTATAATGAATTAGTGTTTTATTTTGCTGTTCCAACACCAAAAGTTCCATATCCAATTGTCATACTAAAGCTATGTTTGAAGATATACCGGGTGTTGCATCGTCGGACGGGACATAGGAAATCCCATGTAAATTTTAATGGGGTTAATTATTGGCTTCCCTAATTATTTTAGAGAATAATTCTATTCAGGTTTATTGAAGAGCACTAAAACTCACATTCAAAAGAATAACTTTAGATATTTTTGATTAGCTCGTTTACGAGTTATCGCCGATTTTTTTTTAAATATTTCTCCTTTCTTATGGCCCTGTATTTACCTATGAGCACCAGTCAAGGTAAAAGATAACTGTCAAATGAAGTCATTTCAGAAATTTACCTATTTAGTGCTTTATTATTATTGAAAACTCATTCCTACATCGGAAATCTTACAGATGTATTTATAAATATGAATTAATATGAATTAAAGTAAAATAAAGCACTAAATAGAAAAATTTCTGAAATGACAACTTCATGACTGGTGCTCATAAGTAAATACAGGGCCATAAGAAAGGAGAAATATTTAAAAAGAAATCGGCGATAACTCGTAAACGGCCTAATCAAATATATCTAAACTTGTTCTTTTGAATGTGGGTTTTAGTGCTCTTCAATTAACCTAAATAGAATAATTTTCTAAAATAATTGACCCCATTAAAATTTACATGGGATTTCCTATGTCCCGCTCGACGATGCAACACCCGGTATGTTAATATTTTCGAAGTGTTTTCTAATTACTAAAAATCTACATGAATAATACCATTATTAATTTTGCTAATATCATCTCATAGAAATCAACTCTTTACCAATCAGCGATTAGTCCATACTGATCGATAAAAAATACATAATTATTTTATTTAACGTTATTTTGAGTAACATTGTTGTGATTTCTTTATTTGTTATTTTTTGGGGGCGTTTGATATTTTCCAAGTCTTCAATTTCGTTTGTCCACAGATCCGAATTTTCGGCGTAGGTAGTTTTAGTAAGTTATTTTATCGAGATCTGTGGATTTTCGAAATGGACGACCACGCAAGGCAGGTTATTATTTTGCAAATCTGTTTTTTTTTGTCCTTAAAATGAAACGTACTATATATTTTGGTTTTGAGGGTAAAACTGACTATATCTACAGCAATAAATTATTTTTAGGTTAAGGTTTTCAAATAATACGTATGTATATTGTTCTGTTATGGTACAGAGTTATTGAATATTTGTTAATTTTTTCTAGATTTGTCATAATTCGATTGGACTTGATTCTCCGATTATTACTTTTTTGTTTCAATATAATAGTACATAATATTATATTGTTTTATTAGGAATAAAAATGATCCTTTTTGGGGCGAGGCTATACATTTGACGTACAGGCTAGGCACAAAAAGTCATTTTTACTCTGAATAAAACATGCTATTTTTTTTCAAACGCCACAAATGATTTTTTCCAAATTTCCAAATAATTTAAAAAAATTTAAAAGTAATATCTTGTAAGTAATTATCTATCGAGAAACTATGGTTACGTTCGTTGAATTTGACACTTTAATTCAGTTTAATAATATATATTCGTACTTTTGTGCTTAGGCGTTAAAATGACATTTTGGTATTGTCAATCACGTCGCAGAAATTTATACTTATGTGAAGTTTGAAAAAAAAATCGATAATATTAAGAAATTTAAAAATAAAAAGACATTTCAATAACTCTGTTCCATTTATTTTTGTACCTATATTGTTTAAATTTATTGTCTTGAATCTGAATTGTCTTGGATTAGCCATATACGTACTAAATTAAGTTAAACATGTTATTCTCTTTGATTTTAATGTTGTGCCAAGCTTACACAAGCAGCAAAACCGTCGTCATCAAAAACAGAATATATATATTTTTACATGTTTGCAAGATTCCACGAGAATATTCCAGTGAAATGCCCATTTTTTGGAAAAATAATAATAAAAAAAAGTATGTCTAGTACTCTATACGTAACTTGGTGTCAGGGTAGAACAAACCTATAATATAATAAAATTTAGAAACGAATATTTAAATACAAGAAAATATACTTTCATTGATAACTTTACAATAGAGATTATGCATTTACTATTAAGAGTTGGTATATCGGGTGTTTTGAAATTGTACTGTTTTTATTGATATTGTACTCTAAAATACTCATCTAAAAAGATATTTACAAAGAATCTAAAGAAGATTTAAGAAAATACAAAATAAAATAGTTGTTCACCACATACGACACGGAGTATTGTAGCTGAACCATTAGATTTTTACAAATTGTAAGTTTTGGGTTCGTTGAAGGAGTATTAGACCTACAATTTAAAAATATTTTTACAAGATACAGAGTGTCCCAAATAAATAAAAAATATCAAAGTTTATTTTTAAATGAAACACCTGTATATTATTACATTTTTAGTTTCTACGATTGAAATAAAGATAAATTTGATTAAGGTTTACAGCATTTTAACCTTTTTTTTAAGGTTTTTGTCAAAATACAGTAATAATTTTAATGCTTCATTTCTCTAGGCGCATTTATGTTTCTAAAACCAAATATTGTACTGAAGTATTTCTCTTTACTAAATTTTGTGTTGCAATAATAAAAATTATACTACCTTATACAGAGTGTCTAAAAATTATTTTAAATAATTACTACTCTTAAACGGCAATAACTTGTTTAATTTAAATGGAACACCCTGTATATTTTATGAGAATCAGATGCGCAATTTAATTGTCTATCAAATTGTATTAACCATTTATTACCTATCTCTTCAAGTTTTCGTAGAAAATGTATTTTTCTAAAATTTAGACCTCATTTATCAATATACCTATCGAATATTGACATTTTGGATTATTTTTAAAGATGTAACAAATTTTTAAAGAGTATAAATACTAATATTGTCGATATGGTTCGTTAATTTCATTAAAAAATAAGAAAAAAAACTGTTTAAATATTTGTTAAAGAAGACCAATTAATCTGATTTCAGTATTCAAACTACATTAATTGACTTTTTGCGTTGATTAATAATAATTGCTCCAAATACTAAAAAACTGAATTTTGTATGTGTATTAGACAGCGTGGTAAAAAGTAATACAATGTATGAGTATGGCAGTATGACAGTGAGGTCTAATTTATAAGAAAATGCATTTTCTATGAAAACATGAAGGGATAGGTAAAAAATGGTAAAACACAATGTGACAGAGAATTATATTGTGCATCTGATTCTTCTAAAATGTACAGGGTTTTTCATTTAAATTTAAAAAAGTTATTTAAAATAAATTTTTAGACGCTCTGTATGAGGAAGTATTATTTTTATTATTGCAACACAACAACTGATCAATAAATAAACTTCAGTAAATGTTTAGTATTAAAAACGTTGATACCCTTGGAGAAATGAAGCCTTAAAATTTTTACTATAATTTCACTAAATTGAAAATATTTCAAAAACCGTAAGGTAAAAGCGTGATAAACCTTAATCAAATTTACCTTTATTTTAATCGTAGAAGCTAAAAATGTAATAATATACAGGGTGTTCTATTTAAAAAATTACAACTTTGATATTTTTTATTTATTTGGGACACACAAAATATTTTTAAATAATAGGTATAATAGTCCTTCAGCCAACCCAAAACTTACAATTTGTAAAAATCTAATCGTTTAGTTACAATACTCCGTGTCGTATATGGTGAAGAACCCTGTATATATTGAAGATCACACAAATTAAAAAAAAATAATAGAAATCATAGGACTAGTATATTTTAATATTATAATAACAAATTATTTAAAAAAATACAATTATTAGAGAAACAGTACAATTTTAAAACACGTTAGTTTGTAGTAGTAACACCGTCTACTTTCCTGTAAAGAACTACTTTCCTAGGTTAACAATGAGGTCGATGTTGTTTTTAATCTTAATCTTAATCGAC